GGAATATAGATGAAAGGACAAAATAGCCAGTATCTATGGTGTATGGTGGTGCACAGTACTAAGTTATATGTCACCTGATAGCTTTAGAAAAGCTCTGTAGAATGGTTTCTTAAATTCACTGAGATTACCTTGAAAAAACAAGCTTTCAAACGTGGTTCTTAATGTACGAATTGCCGAAGACGCCGGTTGGGATGAAATAGCGAGACGGAGGACTTACTGCGCAAATATAAATCCCGTTCGATAGAACTCGGCGAGCCGAAAAAAATGGGCGTATTTCCGAGAATGTAGCACAAAAAGATGAACGGAATAATCCAGGATTACCACAGAGCACAGAATTATGCGACACACTTGTATATGTTTGTGTATATGTTTGTATATGTTTGTGTGTGTATAACCGGGGAGAGGCTTTGTGGGCTTCAGTCAAGTCTTTGCACAAATGCCCAAACAACAAACAGTACTCGGACTGGATACCGCTGCAGCTTCCATGCATTTAGCCTCCCTAAAATGTAGGAACCACCACTATTTGCGGTACCAGTTAGATTCCATACTAATAACCTGCAATTCTTTCCAAATACCATGCAAATGTGGCTCCAAAGTTACACATGCATAAACTAGTGGCGTCCTAATAAGCGGCGCCCCGTATGACATGTGGCTAAATGGGGCTGGCCAAAATGAAATTTCAGCACTAAATTGTGACATAAACAGAAACTCGCTAGCATGCACGGATGAATGGGTTGCGCCCGTGAGCTGCTGAAGCCGGTGAAGCTATAGTAATCCGGTTGTACGAAACAAAGTTGTGCACTCAAAAGCGATTTGTTCAAGCCTTACAATTGCCCTGGCTCGATCGAGTAGTGATTTTGCTCCGCTGAATCGTGCGAAGACCCCGACATTGACCTGATTATTGGCGCAAGTTGGCCACTTGTGAAGTTAGTTTACCCCCTTTTAATGACTTAGTAGTCTGTGTAATCAATGCAAATGATATATAATTGTACTAGCCTGATGAAGAATATCGAAAACCTATGTACCCTAACCTTGACTTTTGATTATCTTTATGGGTTTCTTTATATCACACATCAATGTTCCCGCGATGTGGGATCACAAATGGGACAGTTGTACTTGTCACAAATAACAAAGATGAGATGGCTCGTGCTAGTGTTCAAGCAGTACAAGGTCACCGACAACTCGACACGCAGTTTCAAATATAAATTGTATTACAGCGTCTTTTGTTCAATACGCTTTACCAAGGAAAATCGGGTGCAGTCAGGGAGTGCGATGAATTGACGTCGCCTGCCCGATCTATCCTGAGGCTATTAAGCTGTGGTTTTCCGGATACTGCATCCGAGCGTCTGAGATGGTAGATTCCATAACTTTGGAAATCACGGAAAGCAAGCTTATTGTACGGTACTTGGTGTGGTCAGTGCAGCTACCTCCCTTATGAACAGGAGTAAGTAACCCAGGCTTTCATACTGGAGAAACTTGGTTCTGCTCTAGACAGAGCTGATAGAAGATAGACATTGATTCTGCTACATCACTGACTGCTGCCTGCAGAACATCCAGTCAAATATTAAGGACTCCAGAAGCACAGTGGCTACGCAGGGATAACAGATGTTTTCACACAGCTTCTACGGTGAAGTTAATGTTGGACCAAATTGACGGTGGAGTAATAGAAACAAGGAGATTATTCGGGCTTGTTAGCTGCCGGCATTAATGAAAGCGTGAGAGATCGGCTGTTTCCATTGCTGCTCGAATGTATGCATCAGTAGTAACCAAAGTTTGGATTCCACGCTGCACGTTTCGAAGGCTATTAACGTGCCTGTGTAGGGGTTTGCAGTTTATGCAGAATCGCTTCACACATCCTGCTGATGCGTAACCCTGTCTTCGAGGATCAACTTCTCAAAGGAGTTACGCTGCGCAGTGCATGCAGTCCATGTTTCGGCATTCGGGCAGTCTTTGTGAGCTCTCCATGCTCCTCAGAAATGACTTGCTTTTGCTTTGGCGATTGCAGGTTTTCTGTTCCGATGCGTGCGCAGCCATTGTGTTAAACGGCATTGTGAAAGTTTCCTAGGCTGCGTGTTTAGGAGTACTCTGTTAAGAAGATCTAAGGTGTATCCTTAATAAACCTGGATAACAGGTTGTAGTGTAGGACAGTATGTAATTCATCGCCCTCCTCTTCAGGACATTCCGCAAAACATGTACATTCAAACAGTAGAGTACCATGGTCACTGCGACCCAGGGATGTGCTTGTAACTGTTTCGTCAAACAAGAGTTCTGCGTTGCTAAGCACCAGATCAAGTATCGGTGGCCTGCTATCGGCTCGAAATCTGGTGGGAGAGATCACCAGGTCACACCCAGGGTAGCTGCAAATTAGTTCATGTAGATAGGCTTTAAACTGGGCACCCTCGGTTACTGGTATTTCCATGTCGTGCACACTAAAATCTCCAGCGATAAGAATGTGGCTGTATGACTTGTTTTTCGGAACCTTCAATAGGTGTTTCAGTTTGGAATCCATTTCCGACATGGAGTTTGGTGGAGGCTAAATGACGATCTGTTGGCATATGCTCTCATTCCGCAACTATATCCAGCACCAAAGAGAAACGCGGTCGTTGATTTCTGGGTGAGCAATAAAGTCACATCGAAGGTTTGCAATGTAATAAAGGGTTACACCCCCACCCTTCCGTCGCTATAATTTCGGAGTAACGACATACCTTGTAATGTTAATTCATAATCGGTTATCTCAAGGTTTAACCAGGTCTCGCTAATCATGACGAAGTTCCGCGGTTGTGAGGCCTGGTGTGCTTTGATTTTGACAGACTTACTAAGGATGCGTTAGGCGTTAATGTACAAACAGGATGGTGTTTCGGCTGCCAGGATTGCCTTGTCGGATGTCCAATTCTTGTTTGGGTTTAAGGTGACCATCTACGGGTCGGCAGCTGTTCCTTTGTTTGGTTGGTCGGCCGTTTATGAATTTCAGTCGGGCTGTATGGCTTCAAAAAGTGCTCCAGATTAGGATGTACAGTCGTGCTTTGCTGTGTCCTGTTGTGTGCCGTGTGGGCTTTAATTGCCGTCATTCAGCAGGACCGTAGAATTTACTGCAGTTGCAAGTTCATCGAATTGCTGACCACTCTTGGCCGCGCACCGGCAGCTTTAACGGGGTCTCAGTTAGCAACGTGGCTCGCAACTTTACCCAGCTATCTGTTAGAACTTACCTCATTCCCTCAGCGTGTACCACCGCTTTCATTAATTATGGATCGCAGCCACAGTAATTAGATGATAAAGGAATTCTTATCAAAGATTTGGCGATAACATTGTCCAGTGAGAGGGATTCGTGGAATTAGCACCACTGCTCCCAGACATGCGTATGCGCTTCTTGATTAGAAGAATCCGGAAGCTCCGGAACACCTTGAACAAATATGGCTTTCTTTGTGTCGCCATTAGCGGACCGCCTTAGTTATCCGCTTCCATTGGGTTTTCTTTCCAAGGAAGATCGGGTAGCATGCGGACCCGGCCAGGTAATTTGTAAAGAAAAACCGCTGGAAGCAGAACAGCCTCTGTCTCGTGTGCTGAGTTCAGAGTTACTCGCAGAAATTGTGGTTCACCAAGTTGCACTGAGTTCGTGTGCCACGCTACGCATCTCAGCATTGTGGGCTCAACCAGAATACCGATACCGTCTCAGATGGAATTCCAGTGGCCGCGATCATCTAGCAATTTGCTCCTAATTGAGTCAGATTTGGTGTCGGAAATCTTAGTGCGCCAGAGGGTTGACGCACCGTGTTTTGGCTGCTGTGCCTGGTAATTTGGGCTGTTTAGAAAGCTTCACTGTATTGGGAAGAGCTCAGCATACCAGGCAAATTCAGAACGCATCGGTCACAATGTTGAAGCTGTCTAATTAATTATACATGATCACATTTACGGTGGAATACAGTGACAGCTTGAGCAGCTCAGACCAGTGCTGACTACTCAAGAACATGTTGCATCTTCATATTCACCGCTAAGTGTGATCGTTTTCAATGACGGCTGCTGTGACAACTGAACACTGCGACTTTCCGGGCACGTGAGGTAGAGGGTGGGTGATCCTCAAGTTCATTGTCAGTCACACAGTGGACCTCGGTTATCGTAGGCAGGTTTGTCACGCGAATGACGCACACGCACACGCAATCTGGCTTCTATATCGATTGACAAGTGTCCGTGTAAGATTACGCTATTTTACGCACTTTGTCTTGGGTGGATGTAAGCGGCTGAGTGCCCTCGATTGGCGAATGTAATCAAATGCCACAACTTGAGTAGTACCCATCTTAGAAATTGTCCTGTAGGAGTAACTTCTACTCAACCGGATAGCGCGAAGAATTCTTTATCGAGTGTAATTTTGCAGCAATGAAGGTTGTCCAAAACTCTAAGGATTAACCATAGGTATTACAAGTAAAGCTATTCACGAAAAATGCTAAAACAACTTGGCTTGCAGGGATCCCTATCCATAAGGAATACTTCCATAACAATGTAACTATTGAATAGGAGAAATTATTCCGATGCAAACGATTGTATGGTGACTGTGTTCGGTGTCGATATAGCTGGAGCTGGGAAAACCCTTGACAGAGCAGAGTGCACATTCACCAACTCACTCTGAATTGTGGATAGGTGGAATTCTTAACACCCAATACTTTACTTTTGTGCTTACAGCGATTTTCGGTTAATCTTATTTCGTTTATAAGCTGTGTCTAACAGGAAAGACCATCAAAAAGTTAAAATAACCCTTCTAAGTGTTTCCTGGAGTCTTCTATATATGGCCATCTGCGTGACAGAACAGCTTTTTGCCTTTGCCTTTCTCTGCAATAGTACAATCGTAATAGAAGCGCATTGTGCACTACCTGCATTTTCGCCTTGCAAAATCCCTGTTGTTAGCTGAAACTGAAACAAGTATCTAAATAGATGGTATGTTGCCAACTAAGCTTTACTCATGTTCAGGTAGAAATCTTTAGTATTTCTTGTGTTCCGCTCCCTTTCAGCCGGATATTCTGATACTGACGGTGGTCATGTTAATCGTATGCGTCCTTCTGATGCTGTTCGGCGGCCTTACGATTGGACTTATCTGGAGGTATCGCAAATCAAAGTATGCGAACGATATATATTTTGCAGTGAGATACCATGTGTTCTATAGGGCTTTATCATTTGAAACCAGGCATACTCTCCCCACTACGTTGTTACAGAACTCTATACTTCAGGGACAAGTGTTTACTCGTCGAAGAAAACTGGGCACAAATTACAGCAGGTTTTATCAAGCCAAACTCCTCGACATAAGTTACGCGTTCTCGTTCATAACTAAAGACTCTTCTGAGGCAATGAAGTTCTTCCTTTGACTCAGTGTAACAAACGATGATTAACTCATATGAATGTCGGCCATTCCATGTCCAGCAATCAAATCAGTTACATCCGCATCCCACTGACTATCTGACTCGCTCGGTTGACCCGTTCGTTCAATCTGGTATGACATTCCCATCACACAATGTGTCTATAGATAGCATAAATAGAAAACAACCCCTACACGATATAATGAGCTGCTAACAACTATGTTTCATGTGCAGTATCCACTTGTTTCTAATTAACTAGGGAAGTAATAGATATTCAGAGATTTGTTGCTAGTCACCTAGAGAGTGACTTCTGACGTTGACAACTGTCCCAACCCAAGAACTACAGGTTGCCCTATACTTGGCTATCTTAGAACCATTCCAGAAATGATGGGCTTGACTTACGCGATGCAGCTTTTTGTTGGCAGACGTCAAACCGCTAAGTTGGAATTCATGCGATTCCAATTATTATCCGAGGGATTAGATAAGTTCCGCTGTTTTGCAGAAAGATTCTATGAATTTTGATGCGTTTCTCTGTTTCCAAAATGAAGATACCAAAGAAATATGTCGATGGTGGAAGGAAAACAGCCGCTGAGGTCAGCAGTTTGAACACACTTGGTAGCCGTTTCAATTCAAACGCAGAGTTCAGTCTTTGAATTCGTTTTCAGATTGATGGTGCACGGATTTTACTGACAACCGCGGTAGAGAGAGAGAGGGAGATAAACTTAGTTGTCAGGTTACCATGAATGAGGCAAGAGCTTCCACTGATTGGGTGATAGATTGTAGAGCTCATTAAAACACTTTGATCAATGGTGATCCCTATGCAATTACACATAGTTCTCATTGAGTTCTTGAAATCATTTTGGTTATTCTGTTAGTTAAATTTCAAGGTGTATACTCTGGAAACCATAGAATAAGGATCCTGCAGATAGTAGATAAGCTACTTGTGCCGAACTCACCTGCTAGTTTGATTGGCTAAAGCGCGTCACCTGTTAAAAAGCCAACGCCTAGTACCATGTTTATACGCCATCGGAACGAGAAACGTGGGTTTAGTTACGAATTTATAGGCCATGTTTTTGCATTTCTTCTGGACAATTTCTTATCATTCTTTTCCAGACGATTGATGAAAAAAATCAGTCGAGAAGGAGGGATCGTCTACTTCCATTCGAACCGCGACTCCACCTCTACCACGTGCAGCACGCTACCCCTGCCTCATGCGTATTACAAGGACTTGTGCGGTGTCACTGACAATGCAGGGAAAACGGTGGCGCATTACCAGCCGAATTCAATGCCAACAAGCAGGAGGAATTACAATGACGTATATGACGAATGTGATCCTATGGGATTGTACACAAAAACAGATACTTATGGCACCGTTTTCGGGGACACAACTGCCGTGCCGGCCAACTCGAGCAACTCTACAAACGATGAGTCGGCACCACCATTACCAGAGCGACCGAATAATCTGGAGCTGACTTCAACTCGACAATCTTCCTTTGTGTTGCAGCGCACAGATGACTATTCTGCATGTTATAACAAACAGAACTCCGCGCGAAATTCTATGGGTAGCACTGGTCATCAGCGGCGCCCGACAGTATTTCGCCCCTTTAGTCCCTTACAATATACCACACCCGACGACCGCATAGACCCAGTATGCGGGCTTCTGAACACTCCTTCCTAAACCATATTTTGCTGAATCATACGCGTACCATCATTTGGAATCCGGACGTTTCTGGTTGCAAATTTTCTTCACGGAGACATTTGTCCAATCTGTACTAACCTGACAATCTTTTCTCCATTTTCTTCCAAGAAGCCAAGCAGTTGATACCCATTACTTTCATACTTTGTTGATTCGAACATAGCAAAATAGGCTTCACCGAATTTTAGGTGGTGCGCGGGCGTCACAGCCAAGCACATTGCTTTGGCAAGTTTAAATGAAGCCATAGCTTTACAAGGAAACCTATCACAGGCACTTGTAAATGCAATCATCCCACCGACAGCGTTCGGTTAATGCATGATATATTGACTGGTGGCTGCTTCCATTGACACGTTAAGTTGTCTTAGACAACTGAGCAGCTATTACCAGCAGTTGGTAGTAACTGTGTTGATAACCGATAACGCAAAAACGCGCCCATTGACCAGCTTTTTCCAATTGAAATACTTTGGCTAGAAATTGACGGAACTAGGTACTCAACCAAAGTCTTCGCTGCACGGGTGACCGCCTTGACTACCGGGATATTCAGCACCGTCGGTGACGTTCGTTGACGTTAGTAGTTCTGAATACTGGATACTGAAAATATAGAGGTAGTAAACATGCGTCTGTCTTGCTCTATCTTAATGAGTTCCAGCACTTGCATGGTTTCAAGTCACTGATTTTTGCGCGTTTGCTTCATATTACAGTTACATCATACGCTATTCTGGTGAGATTTGCTTCCCGAATCTGAAGTCCGCAAAGAGGGTCTACAGGAAACTCTGGAACTCCGACACGAATTTCGCCTAGACTATTTTCTAGGGCAAGCGTTTCCGGTATTTCACCACTGGACGCTCCAAACATAGAGGATGAGCTCTTCGCGCACACGTGAAGCAGCGGCTTCAACCTAGGGAATTGGCCTACATGCCATATCCGGTGCGCCATAAGGAGGTCACCTCTAAACTGACGGTACGACAGGGTGTACAGCCCTAGTCGTCTGCAACAGTTTCCGTACGACGTACCCCGTAAACTGGGGATGAGTCTGGTAGCCACATGCTGATCACTTTCTAGGTTTTGCTCCACACCACGCGTGCTTGGACGATAAGCGGTTGATCCGTACTAGAGCCTCGGTCTTATGATGGAAGAGAACAGGCGCGTAACAATCTCTTCTAACTAAATGCAGAGCCTGCGTTTGAGAGCCCAATGCATGAGCAGTCCGTTTCCATAAAGCTTGTTCGCGTTTTCTACGCACTTCAAATCGCAATGCTCGAGTGTACGCTAAGATCTTTCACGGAAGTTGTGGTATGCAGCGGTTGGTCAGCCAGTGTGTGCTGGATTGTTTGTGTTGGCATGAATAATCTGCGGGTGGGGTTGGGTCAAAATAAAAACATGTCGTTCCGATCAATCACCCCGTAGCCAAAGCGTACAGATTTTCTTACTTCGACAGAAACACTAGAGTGATTTCCACTTCTTTTGAGATCCCGGTAGTTGCAGTGACCAACGTCCATTTACATGCGATTTAAATATTAAACTATGTACTCGAGTGATTAACTTAAATAGGAGTTACAGGGTTTAAATTGCACCCACGAAAGTATCACCTTATTTGCCGTTTGTCATTAACCATGCATGCACCATAGATGGATTCAATCCGATGGCATTGGGTGCGATTTGGGAACTGTTATACACTGGCCAGTCTTACGTGAGCATAAAAGTAAGTCGACTATTGTTCCGTGCCATAGCGATACATTTCTCTAACTAGAGTCGTGATATATATATATATATATATTTATATATATATATGGTTGGTTGACATCATCCGGTTTCCGATTTGCCTCTCACTGTGGCAAGCCACAGGACGCATGCGCCTACAGAGGGATCATGGGTGGCTTGCGTTGCACAACCCACAGCTCCATCCACACACCCCATATCCAGTGTAAACCCGAAGGAATAAGACCGGGCGGCATGTGGATGGGAGCCACGTTTCATCAACGGAGCCGGCCCACACTCCTTCACAGGCAAACACAAGCACACTGTATTTGGGGAATCAAGCGCACACAAGGCAGTGGCTGGACCGTAGTCCGCTCCACACTGAGTGCATGGAACCACTCTTTGTTCCTAACATGGCCACAAGGACCGTGCACCCTGTCCCCTCCAGCAACGACCAACTCTCTCCTGGAGCCAGTATGGAGGAGCTAGCGGGTAGTAGACAGGTAGGCACCTTGTCAACATGCACATCAAGCGCAGCCTCACCGGGAATATCAAACAACAGCCAATCACTTGAGAGAAAGATAACAAAGAAAATAAATCGAGTAATGCATAAAGAAAGGGTGACATATCTTAGAGTAATGAGCATCTGAAGTAAATTGTTTACAGAAGCATACGAGATAAATTCACGAGATCAGAAAGTATACTTTGCGGAAATGCTACAAACACGAAAATGTTTTCGAAAAGGACTAGAATTGGCTTAAGCGACGTGTGCAAGTTTATAGAAGAGTACAGGTACACATTTATATGAGAAAGAAAAGCATTGGGACAAAATTGAAAACCCACAACCTGAAATAAATAGACTTAGCACGCAAGCAAACGGGGACATAAATCTTAAATTAGTGAGCATATGAAATAAGTTGTTTACAAAAGAATACGTTTACAAAAGAATACGAGGAAAGTTCACGAGGTCTGGAGGTTTATTTTACGGAAATGCTACAACACGAAAATGTTATCGAAATAACTACAAGTGGCTTAAGCGACGTGTGCAAGTGTATAGAAGAGATTATAAATAGGCATTCATATGGGAAAGAAAAGCATAAGGGCAAAATTGAAAACCCACCACCTGAAATAAATAGACTTAGTACGCAAGCAGACGGTTAGTAAATCGAATGCAGCGTACCTACAAACGCCGCGCCGGTTCTGCCTACATTCTCTGCAGAATCCGTCGGCGCTTCGGTAGTATATATATATATATATATATATATATATATATATATATATATATATATATATTGATGACACGCGTGAGCAATTCTACAATTAGTTATCCTCCGTGATACGGTCTGTGCCGAGCAGCGACCGATTATTTCTGCTGAGTGATCACAAAGCATCGGTGTGAACTGATGTTATCGGTCCGCATGGCATTGGATCAGTGAATGCGAACGGTGACAGGCTGCTCCCACTGTGTGCCACTCACTGCCTGACGATCACGAACACTCGGTTTGTACCGAGCGCGAGTGGTATAACAACTTTGACGCACCTGCGGAGTGGTCACGCTCACCTGCTCGACTATGTCATCGTACGTCAACGTGATTTGTGTGAAATGCGCATGACACGTGTACTACGTGGAGCTGAGTGTGACACTGATCACAAATTGGTGCTGACCAAAATGTGTATGTAGTTTCGTAGATCTACGTATTGCACTTCCGCCGTGAATCGGCGTACATTTAACATTCACTCCCTCGGTACTGTGGCGAAACGTATTGAGCTGGAGAAGGCGATGGCTGCATGCCTGTGTGATGTGGACTGCATAACCACATTGGGTGACCTGTGGCACCACATTCGCGACCAGGTGACAGTTGCTGCCGAGGAGACAATCGGGCGCGCAAACTGTAAGCGGCCTGATCGGTTTGATGAGAACAATGTGACGATTGGAGCATTGATGTCGGAGAAGAATGCAGCATTTGCTGCACATGTGACAGACCCCAGGGACTTGGGGAAGAATAGTCAGTTTCACAAACTTCGACGGCAACTGACCCTTGAGCTGCCATGGCAATGAGGCTGGACCTTACCGTGGTGCGATGGTTTGTGTGCCTCGGTGATCCATTGAGCTATACTGAGTGATGCATTTTTGCACCTTCAGAGTCTCTCATACCAGATTGGTCAACTGTTGGAGGCCAGACAAACTCAGCCTCCTGGTCCTTCAGGTTGGGGGCTGGAACGAGGGTGGCTCCTTATTCCTAAAACGGATCCATTTTGGTCCAAAGCCAAACCTTGCCTCGCGGTCAGGTTTTGAACCAAAGGCATTGGTTGAGAACCCTAACTGTTCTCCTGTCTAGGCCTGGGCAACCTGACAGTATCCCGCCCACGCAATACAATGAATCTCACTTCAAACAAATTTCTGATGCTCTGGCCACCGCAGAGGATAATCAACGGTGCCCTATCTGATGCATCGGGCAGGGTGGATAGGGGTTTATATATATATATATATATATATATATATATATATATATATATATGGTTGGCGACATCCGGTTTCGGATTTGCCTGTCACTGTGGCAAGCCACAGGACGCCTGCGCCTGCAGAGGGATCATGGGTGGCTCGCGCTGCACCACCCAAAGCTCCAACCACATACCCCATATCCAGTGTAAACCCGAAGGAATAAGACCGGGAGTCATGTGGATGGAAGCCACATTTCATCAACGGAGCCGGCCCACACTCCTTCACAGGCAAACACAAGCACGCTGCAGTTGGGAATCAAGCGCACACAAGGCGGTGGCTGGACCGTAGTCCGCTCCACACTGACTGCATGGAACCGCTCTTTGAGCCTAGCATGGCCACAAGGACCGTGCACCCCGTCCCCTCCAGCAACGACCAACTATTTCCTACAGACAGTATGGACGAGGTAGTGGGTAATAGACAGGTAGACACCTTGTCAACATGCACATCAAGCGCAGCCGCACCGGGGATGTCAAACAACAGCCAATCACTTGAAATAACAGTAACATAAAATATAACTGTTAAAGAATATGGCTATGCAGACATAACTAGTCCCTAAATTAGCATATGAAGTATGTTGGTTAGCAACGAATCCGCGGTAAGTAAAAAATGTCCAGAAGTGACCCAGAAAATGCTACAAACGCAATAAAGTTAACGAAGATAAGCACAATTACCGCAAGCAACGTGGAAATTTATAGAAGATTATTCCGGTATGCAGAATAAATCAAATGAAGTGGAATGAAATTTATCCAGCTTAAAAAGAGACCTAGTTTAAGTCTATATATGTATAAGTGTATATATATGTGTATATATATGTATGTATATGTATGAATGCATAAGGAAACGGTGACATAAACCTTAATTAAATGGCATTAATCGAGTTTTTCTCTTTCTCTTTCTTTCTCTCTCTCTCTCTCAAGTGATTGGCTGTTGTTTG